TATATTGAATTTGTTTTGTTTTAAATAAATAAATAAATAAATAAAGTTGGGTTCATTGTTACAAAATAAAGATCTTGTACTACGATGTGTTTGAGCTCAGACCAGAAGATGTGAATGATTCTCAGCTACCACACCAACGTTTGGCTGAATATCTGTAAAACTGAGTTCTGAGTATTTATGCTTGATTAAATTCTGGCTCATGAGTTATTTTGCTGACAGACGCACATTTCAGAGACAGACAAGATAAATTAGGACTAAATCATGGGTTTAAATGATGTTTTACATGTTGGTTGAGCTGTCAGAGGGTGTGAGGTCCAAGCAGTGCCTCAGCACATCTGGAAGGAGAAATGCAAAACTAACAAGTGGGTGTTTGGAAGCAAATCAATCTCCTGCAGAGAAGCTGAAAAGTTGGACAGCAGAGTAAAAACAGGAGCGGTGAGGTGAAGAGCTCAAACCTCAGCAGTGATGTTCTTCTGGAACTCCAGCTCCTCCTTCAGGGTCTGCAGACGGTTCTCAGCGTCCACTCTCCTCAGCATCTCGTCCTGCAGCTGCTTCTTGGCATCGGCCAGGCTGGTGTCCAGCTAGGAGAGGGGGGAGGAGCTTAATGAGGCAGAGCTGAGTTTGTGCAGCAGGTGGCGCTGTGAGGCTCTGAGCTGAGATTCATTGATGAAAGCAGCAGCAGAGACTCTGCAGCTCATCCTCATTCATAACAGGAAACCACTTCCTGCACTGAGTCCTGCTGCAGCAGGTAGAACCTGCTGTCTGCTTCTCGAACAGGTCAGTTTTACACAAACTGAGGGAAGCTCAACATTTTTCCTGCAGGTTTCCTAAACCTCTGGGGTTTCAACAGATTCTGAGCAGCAAAAGAAAAGAAAAGAAATGTGTGGATGTGGATTTGCTCCGAGGCAGAGAAGGAACCTTCTCTGAGCCCAGAATCCACACGAGGCCTCAGTTTTACCTTGGCCAGCTGGGCCTTCAGCTCCTTCACTTCAGCCTCCAGGCTCCTCTTCTCCCCCAGGGCCGTGGTGAAGGCAGCATCCTTGGAGTTCAGCATGGCCTCCAGGTCCCTCAGCCGGACCAGAGCCGCCTCCAGGTCCGACTCCTTCTTAGCGTTCCTGTGGAGACGAGGAGGACAGGATGTGTTAGTCTGCTCTGTGTGTCTCAGATTACATTTCCTGTAGACAAACCAGGTTTAAACAGGCACATGAAGCTAAATAAAAACATTTAAATTATTTTTTCTCTTCCTCATAAATAAATCCTGCTTTAAAAAGATGTTAAAAATGAGCCCTAACAGAACATAGAACCAACTTTTTATCATAAGTTCCACAAGATCTGAGAGGAAAATGTTTCATTTTGTTTAAGTTTATGATTCTTTTATCAGTTAAAGCTTTTGATAAGTTTGGGTTGAGCTGCATGGATCCAAGCAGCACACCGAAAACAATACATTACAATTTAAATAATTAAAAGAACAATAATTCATTTCTAAAAACTTATTTTTCCTAATCCCATTTTATGCATTTTTTAAATCAGATTTCATCTTTATAACTGACTAAAACACTTGTAACAAAAGGTTAAACCTTCAGCTGGTCAGAGTCAAAGCTGCTGATTGATTTCAGCTCACAGTGAAACATGAGGCAGCAGGATGTGAAACGCTGAGTCACTCTTCAAACAGGAATGTTAACAGAACACTCGGTTCTGTTAGCGATTTGTCTGGACTGGACGGAGGCCCGCTGGGCTCCATCTCAGGGGAACCCGTGTTGAATTAAAGGAACTCACGTTTGCAGCACATGTGCACCGCCCCTCGGACATCTACAGGAACTGGTTTAAAGAGATGCTGGGAGGAAAAATCTAACTTGGAGCCGGCAGTGGAAAAACAGTCTGCAGACAGGAGGAGGAGGAGGAGGAGGAGGAGGTGGTGGTAGGGTAGGTTAGCAGCAGAGGAGTAAATGGTAACAAATGTCCCTCCCTGCGCTGTGGGCTGCTCTTCATTGTAATAATGACCGTCTGCTGAGGAGACGTCCAGGCTGTTAGACCTCAGCTGCTCAGATTTATGAGTTAGGGCTTCAATGATACGGAAAATTCACAGTTCCATACTTCAGTCTCACAGTTTGATATGTTTTTGGTACAAAAAGAGAAATGTCCATGTCCTTCTTAACTTGTAATTTACAGAAATTAATTACGAACATTTGTTTAAACTCAAAAGTACAGTTTTTAAATGAAATGTTGTTGAAACAGCAAGTTTCTCAGAGGATCTGTGCTCCACAATGCAGCCTAGGTGGAGTAGTGGAACACAGATCCACTGATCCTTCAACACAGAGCATCTTCAGAAGACAAGCTGATAAAGTAATACAACATACAGAACACTGTGTAATAAATGAACTTTGGTCACTCACGGGCCAGATGTGGCCCGTGGGCCACCAGCTGAACAGCCCTGCTTTAGTGCAACACAAAGCAGCAGATGTTCATGTTTTACCTTTAAAGATCAACAAGAGAACATCTCTGCAGCAGCTGCTGAAAGCCTTGCTCAAAGGCACACTGTGACAGTGTGACTGCAGCAGCTGGAGTTATGGCAGTTTAAAACAAACACAAACATACAGGAGGAGCAACGAGCAGGAGGAGTAAGGAGCAGGAGGAGCAACGAGCAGGAGGAGTAAGGAGCAGGAGGAGCAACGAGCAGGAGGAGTAAGGAGCAGGAGGACTGACGAGCAGGACTAACCAGCAGGAGGAGTAACGAGCAAGAAGAGTAACGAGCAAGAGGAGTAACGAGCAGGAGGAGTAACGAGCAGGACTAACCAGCAGGAGGAGTAACGAGCAAGAAGAGTAACGAGCAAGAGGAGTAACGAGCAGGAGGAGTAACGAGCAGGAGTAACCAGCAGGAGGAGTAACGAGCAAGAGGAGTAACGAGCAGGAGGAGTGATGAGCAGGAGGAGTGACGAGCAGGAGGAGTAACGAGCAAGAGGAGTAACCAGCAGGAGGAGTAACGAGCAAGAAGAGTAACGAGCAAGAGGAGTAACGAGCAGGAGGAGTAACGAGCAGGAGGAGTAACCAGCAGGAG